GTGCAAGTGCACGAATGTTGTGTACTGGGCCTCTAGTTTCACAATAAAAAGCTTAAGAAAAATGCTTTTGTTTAGGAGAAAAAAATAGCAGATATTTTAAAGGTTTTAACTGACTACAATACTGTGATGTGGTTGACAAACGAATCTGGCTAGGATTAATGGAAGTCTCATAGATACAAAGAAGAGATTGACGGTTGCCAGAGGGGAGAGTGTTGGGGGACTGGGTGAAAAGGTGAAGGGGTTAAGAAGAACAAATTGGTAGTTACAAAATAGTCACAGGGATGTAAAGTACAGCATAGGGGATATGGTCAATAATATTGTAATAACTGTATGGTGCCAGGTGGGTACTAGAAATACCCAAGGGATCACTTTATAAAGTATATGACTGTCTAATCACTATGTTGTATACCTGAAAGTAATACAAAATAATATTGAATGTAAACTGTAATTCTAAAGAAGGACTCCAGAAGTACCACTTTATTTTGTTTACATCAATCTGCATCTGAAATGGCAATTCAGCTTCCAGACTGAAACACACTGACAGCTAGACAAAACACCCAGAATTGGAAGGCCCTATCATATAAGATATAGTTGAAGTAAAGATATTTAACCAAGTAAATGGCAGACTTCCAAGAGACATAGCTGCTGTCTTCTAAAACCTGATAGACTGTCATTTGGTAATCAAATTCAGGTGTCGTTGATATCCCTTTAGCTACAATAAACCTACACTTTTTCACAAAACATGAAGTGTTTTTAAAGAACACAGAGAACTCATTTTAGCTGCATTACAGTTTCTCATCTTTTAAAACAACTGAAGCGGAATAAACTTAGAATATCAAAATGTTCTTCCAAATGAATCTTAATTGCTATTTCACTTGTTTGAAACTGTGTCACTTAGTTTAAGGAGCCTCCACTTTATTGCCACCACCTTCAACCATCTCTTCCTGTAACTATGTCAAGAGCTATTAAGATATAAGACCTGTGACTCATACTTAGGGATCAAATGTCTCAGCCTTTCAGATGGGACCAAAAAGTTTTATACTAAATATCTGCCTTGACTGTCAAGGAAGGGGGTACACCTTTCCTATTTTTCTTTATCTGTGGAGGAAACATAAGATGGATTTCATGCTTCAAGGTTAATATTGCTATCAATTTATTAATTTACATTATACACTGAAGTGAAGGTTACACAAAAATTTAAAAAGAAATTATTTGACACTTTGCTATTATAAAAGGCTACAAAAAGTATGATGATAAAACCCAATGAAAAGAATCTTGCAGGCACTCATTTCCATATCCTGATCATGACAGAGGCCTTGATCGAGCAGTCTCACGATTGTGAGCCTATTCTGTTGGCTGATGAATTTTTCTATTTATGACCCAGCAGAGAGCATGAGATGAAAGTGCTGCTTTGGCCAAAAAAGCAAACAAAATGCTGAACATCACGAACCAGAAACAAAACAGTGAACATTATTCTTCCTTCAAACACAATAAACTCTTGCTCCACCTGAAAGGGACAGTGTGTGTGGTTCTGGATGCTAGCTGACTGAAAAGACACCCAGAAACGATAACTCGAGAAAAGAATGAAGCCAAAAAGGGGGTTGGCACACTAGGGTGTGCCAGGTTTTATACTAAAGGGGACTGTGTTAAGGGGGCTTTATTTGCATTATTTCAAATGGGTAAGACTCACAGCCACCTTATGAAGCGAGGTGATACTACTGTTATTCCCATTTTAAAGCTGGGGAAACTGAGGCTTACAGAGATTAAGAGAGTAGCAAAGTCAACTAGAAAGTGACAGAGGTGGAATTTAAACCCACATCTGTTTTGATTCCAAAGACCATACATTTAACTACTATGTTCTATTTAATGATTACTGGACATGAAGCATCAGTACAGTGTCCATTCTCCCCGTCTTCATCTAGAGCAGTGGTTCTCAACCTTCTGGCCCTTTAAATACAGTTCCTCATGTTGTGACCCCCAACCATAAAATTATTTTCGTTGCTACTTCATAACTGTAATGTTGCTACTGTTCTGAATCGTAATGTAAATATCTGATATGCAGGATGGTCTTAGGCGACCCCTGTGAAAGGGTCGTTCGACAGCCAAAGGGGTCGCGACCCACAGGTTGAGAACCGCTGATCTAGAGAATCACAGGTTCAGAAAATTGAGGAGCTTGCCCATAAGTTATGCTTGTAGCATAACTGAGGCTTGAACCAAGTTCGCCTGACTCCTAGGCCAGGTCTTCCGGCTGTGCCATGGATAAAGGATAAAAGCTGAGAGCGGATATCTAAAAATAGATAGAATGGCATAGAACTATACCCACAAATTCTAGAAAATCACAAAGGAAATGGAGAAAGTAAACTTAGAATCTTCCAATACCCAATAGTGTAAACATACTAGGGCCTGAAACCATTCTGGAAGCTTGAGAGATGCATTTAGAACAGGGGTGGGCAAACTTTTTGACTCGAGGGCCACAATGGGTTCTTAAACTGGACCGGAGGGCCGGAACAAAAGCATGGATGGAGTGTTTGTGTGAACTAATATAAATTCAAAGTAAACATCATTACATAAAAGGGTACGGTCTTTTTTTTTTTTTTAGTTCCGCGGGCCGTAGTTTGCCCACGGCTGATTTAGAACAAGAGAAGGAAGTGTAATTGTGCACACAGGGCAGTGAACTCACAAAACTCAATGCCCCTAACAAGCAGTAGAGGCTGAGAATGAGGATCCAAACAAGACATTAGATTGTATTTATTTATTTAACATTCTATGTGCTAAACACTGTTCTAGGTGTTTGTTTCGGGTTGAATTAAGCCCCCCTCCCCCATTTTACATGTTGAAGCCCTAAGCCTCATACCCTCAGAATATGACTGCATTTGGAGACTGGGCCGTTGACAGGAGTGATTAAGTTCAAATGAAACCGTTAGGGTGAGTCCTGGTCCAGTGTGACTGTGTCTTTATAAAAAGAGATTAGAACAGAGAAAAAGACACCAGGGGCATGTGTGCACAGAGGAAAGACCATGTGAGGGCAAAGCACAGGTGGCATCTACAAGCCGAGGAGAGAGGCCTGAGGAGAAGCCAACTCTGCTGACACCTTGATGTTGGACATCTGCCCTCCAGAACTGGGAGAAATTGATTAAACAACAGGAATTTAAGCCACGCAATCTGTGGTACTTTGTTATGGCAGCCGTAGAAAACCGAGGCATTGCTTTAACAATACACATTCATCAATCCCTATAACAACCTTTTGATGTAGGAACTATTATTATCCCCACACTACAAATGAATAACCTGAGGCTTAGAGGAGTTAAATAACCTCATCAGTGTCACTCACTAGTAAGTGCAGAGCTGGGACAACGTCATGAGTGACGGAACTCAAACGGATTATCACAGGAGCCTGGGCCCTACCTCCAACCTTAGCAGACAGACTTCGAGAAAGACAAACAGCTCGCACATCGTGTTGCTTCTGCTTCTGGACCGGGTAGATGGAGGCCACAAGCTGGTGTGAGCATTTGTGTGGGCTTCGAAAATGTTGAGGAAGGCACCTGTGAATAACACACAGTGTAAAATAAAGGTCAGAGCATTGAATTGGGCACCAGAGCCCCTGGGCTCAAGTCCAATCCCCAGAGCTCTTCTAATCCCCAGGTATTCTTGAGCAAGTTAAACTCTAAATCTGTTTTCTAATCTGTGTAAAAGGGAATAATATCTGCCTACTACCTGTTGCTTTGGTTACAAGAGCATTTCATAGCATTCACTGTGCTGTGTTAAAAATGCTTAGCACCGTTTCCTTGCGTGTGATTGGCTCTCAAATAATGCACAAGAAATGAGCATGGGGGTTCTCAGCATACCGTGCCAATGTAAGGCGCCCTGGTTAACACGGGAAATGACCACTCTTGTTGCATTTTTTTCCAGCCCTGGGTGGAAGGCTGACGAGTCAAGAAGCAAAGCCATGGGCCCAGGTGGCCCCAAGGAAGGTTGCAGAGGAGAGGGCTATGGTCTGCTCCTGATGATAGGGGTTAGGCCCTGACCTGACAGCCTGCACCCTTCACCTTCCCCTCTTCTGTCTGAGTGACAGTTGTTCCCATGTCCCCTTATCTGTAATCTACTGCCTTTGCCCAGGAATCCTTAATATCAGCCAGTCTGTAAGAAGAAGGGGGAGGGCTCTATAAACTAGAATGGAAGCCTTTGTTTGTGTCCTTCACTAGGGGCAGCCCCTAATCCCGTTCCAGAGAGCCACAATGGGTCCCCAGGAGTCTACCTTGCCTTCCTGGTCCAGGGGAGGAAAGATATTACACCCAAAATAAACACTCAACAAGCACTTTCTCATTGATTCAGAGGGTATGGAATGAGCCCCTAGCACTCTAGCCATCCTGCCACAAACAGCAGCAGAGCTCACACACCCATCTACTTATTTATTTACTCATCAATTAATTCATTCATCATATATTTATTGAGTGCCTTCTATTTGCAAATCACTGTTCCAGGTGACTACAAAACAGACAAAGATCCCTGCCCTCATATAGCTTGCATCATTGTTGGGAGAAGGCAATGAGCTAAATAGATATAACTTGTTAGGTGGGATGTGTTGTGGAGAAAAATACGCTAAGAAAGGAGATTACCAAATGCTCAGATACAGGCCTAAAGATGAGAGAGTACAGAGAAGCAACAAGCAGAGAGAAAAGCAGTTCAGGAAGAAGCCGGGCAATGTGCCTGGCACATCCTAGAAACAGAGGCCAGCAAAGCCTGAGTTAACAGTGTGAGAGGTCAGGGTTAAAAGGAGGCCTTATAGGAAGGCCCTAAAATTAGACGGCACTTACTTATGCTCATTACACGAGATGAAAGCACGGATACTGAGTATGGGTAGGAGAGAGACAAGGCCCGATGACAAGTCCAGGAGCAGGCCAACCTGAGACCTCAGCGAAGAAAGGTAAAGGAAGGCGTGGGAGGAAAACCAGGAGGATGTGGGTCCTGCTTTGCCCTCACTGCTCTCTCCAAACTCTCATTTTCTTTTCTGCTCCAGCTCACTCTACCTCTCTCGGCATCACTTTTGGGTAAACAAAGGAGTTTTCTATCAAAGTGCATGAGCCAAAATAGATATTTACCAGGTAAACACTATCCTTTTAATTGGGTGATTCTTCCACAAAGGCACACAGATGGCTGCTCAGTGCATTTGTTGCAATATGTGGATCAGCTGGAATATCCAGTTACCCAGCTCTGTGGATTCCCAGCCTGGCGAGCAGTGTGGAAGGTATTTTCATTATTGTTGTTGTTATTGTTCAGGGACACTTTGGCCCTGACTGCACCCCTCCCTCCTTCCTTCTCCCACTCCCCACCCCCTGATCCAGAGGGCAATGAAAGCTCACATCATTTCACTTTGGTCCAGCTGCCAGGCTGGGGAACAGATGTTGTATTGTTAACACAAAGAAGAAAACAAACAGCCCCCTCCTCTGTGTTCCTCCACCTCCCCATCCACCCCCACTTCAGCCCCCTGGTGAGAATGGGCAATGTCGGGGAGAGGAGAGGATGGGGCCCCAGTGAGTAATGCCACCCTCCCTCGCCAAGGCTGAGCCCGGACCGGAGGCGCACAGAGCGTTCTCCCGGCCCTGTTTACAGCAGACACGGGTGCTGTCAGCTGAGAGGCTGGCTCGTGGCTGGTGCCCCGAAGATGCTCACACTGAGTGGAGCATTGAGAGAAAGAAGACAATGACTCTCTTGTGCATGTGGCCAGAAACGAATCTACCTGCATTTGATGGGCAAAAGCCATCACCAAGAGACAACCCAGAGACAGGAGGGAAAGGCTGAGGTCTAGCTCTGCGTGCTTGATGATGCCTCTTGGAAGCTTTGAAGAGCTGGGAACGGGGTTAATTTCTTTTCTGAGGACCACCAGTTTAGAGTCCTCTGCCTTTTCTCCCACTTCTCCTGCAGACCCTTTCCTTGGGTGGGGGTCTGTCGGAGTGGACAGGGGTGGCACAAGCCTGAGAAGGGCAGAGTGAAGGCTAGAAGTGAACTAGTGCATGGAGATGAGGCCAAGTGAGGGCAAGCAGGGCCTTGTCAGCCAGGCTAAGGGCCTGGCACTTGCTTTGAATTTACTAAGTTACAATGGAAAGATCGTAGGAAGGAGAGAGAGATACAAGAAGCAGGTACACAGCTCTGTGAGGCTGCTGTAGCAATCCAGGTAGCAGACAGCAAAACCCCTAAGGTGGCATTAGAGTTGGCTCCATTGCTGTCAATGAGGCAATATCAACAGGGCTCAGCAAGCAATTAGGCATGGCGAGCGGCAGCTAAGGAAGACCAGGGCCGCCGTAAGAACTTACTCAGTGGTTCTAATCCCTGGGAAAAGGTTACACCCACCCACCCTTCTGTATACAACATTCAAAATAAAGTTGATATCTAGCCATACAACAAGTATAAGGAATTCCAGAAAGTTTTTGTGTTATTCTAGGATGGCTACTTTGATATATTTTTAAGCACTGAATGCTTTCAAAATGTTTTGGCTCCCTACTTTTGTTTTCTTGGTGTTTCCAGCAGGTGCCCTTTTGTGCTTATTGGACAGTCCTACACTGGGAAAGAGTCTCGGAATTCATGTGTGGGCCACTAGGTGATAGCACGCCTCTCACAGGAACAGGAATGCAGGAAGAGGCATAGCAGGAAGCAGATCAGAAGGTGATGAGCTCAGCGTTGGACTGGACTGCGAGTTTGAAGCATCAATGGAGACAGACACTGCCAGAAGTCAGCTGATTACATGAGTCTGGAGCGGAGATGGCAGACCTAGGAGTCATCAGCACTCATGGGACGAGGGGCGAGGGAGGGGGAGGGGAAGGAGGGAGCATAAGGTCATCCAGGGTGAATCTGTGGAGGGGAGGGGAGAGGGACCAGAGTGAAACCTGCAGAAAATTGGCATATGAGGGATTGGTCAGGAAAAGAAACCTGTTGAGGAGTATCCAGAAAAACTGAGGAAAATTCAGGCGAGAGCAGAGCCCCAAAGACTAAGGAACAAAGGAGGACATAATGAACAGCATGAAATGGTCTAGACTACTTCAAGCCAGGTAAGAGGATGTGCAGGGCTGGTTGGCACCACTGCATGCAACATCAGAGAGGCCACTGGTGGCCGTACTATTGAGAGTGATTTCTGGGGAGAAGTATATGTGGAAGGATGAGTGACCAAATAGAGGCAATGAGTTTACACTGCTAGTGGTAGCTCTAGCAAGGAAGGCTGAGGGGGCGTTTCATGTAAAGATGACAGAGAACACATTAATATCTCACTCGCACCTGCCAGGCAAATGCATAAGACCCACCAGACTTGGAAGCAAGGAGGAGGCTTCCATACATAAATGAGTTTGAGGGGAAACTTTTCTTTGCACCACCTACAGATGACAGTCAGCTGAGGTCATAGTTTTGTTCGGCTTGGATGTGGTGTTCTAGAAAGTCAGACAAGCATTGATCAGGTACCTACTATGCATACTGGTTAGTGCATGAGCTGCTGGAATTCAGAAACAACAAGCTAAAGGAGCTCCTCGCCTCATGGAAAGAGAAAACTGGTGTCAGAGGCTGCCCACCTACAGTGTGACACACCATTGCTGTTGGCCCCACACAGGGCTTTTGTAAAACTGAACCATCACTTTTTAAAAATCACAAAAAAGCCTGGCTTCTCTAAAAAAACTAGGAAACGTGTGGCCCTTGCCCTGCATTCCCACCAGAAAGCAATTGACTAGAGCAGCGGTTCTCAACCTGTGGGTCGCGACCCCTTTGGCGATCTAACGACCCTTTCACAGGGGTCGCCTAAGACCATCCTGCATATCAGATATTTACATTACGATTCATAACAGTAGCAACATTACAGTTATGAAGTAGCAACGAAAATAATTTTATGGTTGGGTCACAACATGAGGAACTGTATTTAAAGGGCCAGAAGGTTGAGAACCACTGGACTAGAGGGAAGGTGAGGCTTCCCATTACTGAGAGCATCCATTCTTCAAGCCACTCCAGTCCCCAAAATTCTCTATTAGCTGACGCACAGAGAGGACTTCATTTATAGATGCCTAGCCTTTGGGAGGCACTTGTGTTTGTGACTAAACCCCAGAACAACCTAAGTGATGAATTACTCCGTGCTAGGAAAATCAGTAGAATTAAATTGCTGAGCAAAGTTCTTAGACTTGGTCTTGACAAGGAGGTAGAACAAGATTAGGTGGTGGGTGGACAAATGAATGGATAGATCAAAGAATGAAAAGCATAACCCTTGGTGTCAGGGATGGACTTGATGCATGTGAGTCGCAGGCCACGGCTGGAATTGAGGGAGCACAGATCCGGCATCTTTCATTAAAAATCTGAAAACTTCTGGTTGAGACAGCCTTCTGATAACAGGATTAATCATATAGTAATATTGCAAGAAGCTGCTCCCTTTCAAATAGAAAGTTCATATAACGTTGGGATTTTGTATCAATACAATAGTCCCATTCTTGCTTGGCACAATTGTATCAATTCTGTGGGTAGACATAATATCCAAGTAATCTTTCCTTTTATCTTTTCCAGCTGGTTGTTTGTGTCT